AAATAAAAAAATTGTCTTAAAAATAATAGGACTTTAAAAAAAATTTAGGCCAAAGGCCCCTGTTTGTACCTTACATATTTTTCTTTTCATAATTAACACTTTAAATTAATTTTTGTCTTGATTAATACCCTCTATAATTTAAAATCCATGAAAAATTAAAAAATTAATGGTTAAATTTTTTATTTACACCTTGAATTTATAATCAAATCCATTATTTGTAACATAATTTTGTTAATAACTTAAAGATTTTTACAAATTTTAAATTTTTTTTTTTTTGAACATTTTGACACGGGTCGGGTTCGAAACCCACTCAGGGGAGGGGGAATGTACCTAGCAAGTTAGCTAATGCTAGTGGGCCTCTAGGCCCAGGTGCTACAAATTTTAAATTATAAAAATGTTAATTGAGAGAAAAATTAATTTAAAGAATTGATCACAAAAAATATATATATATATGGTGCAAATAAAAAGTTTCTATCAATAATTTATGAAGCCTAATTAAAATATATCGATTATCGACTAGCGGCCCTATAGCAAGAATCAGAAAGAAGTCCATTTTGCCCCGTGGGAAAATGAACAGACCCTTCTGGGTCCTTGGGTTTAGCCGATTGAGAGGCTCACACCGTCTTCTACGTAAAAAATAAAAATAAAAATAAAAATAACCACCATTCTAGCCTCTCAATCTCTGCTTAGCAAGCTTAAGTTTTGAGTTCAAAGCCAAGCCAAGTTGAGCTAGTTTTATTAAAAGATTTTTAGCTCATACTATTTAACGAGTGGAACTCAAGCCAGATCATTGAACATATTTGGTTGATGGAACGAATATTATTTAATCAAAATATAGAAGTAAGCTAAGTTAAATAGATATAATAACAAATAAGGAATTCCCACGTGCTAGATGAATTGAATTTAAACTCAATAAATAATCAAGCTTAAGCTTAAGCTAGTACGTTAAACTCGTAAGCTACTTGCAACCAACTTGTTTAGATTAAACAATTAAAAAAATATATTATTTGATTTAATTTAATTATTTTAAATTATAAGTAAGTTAACATCTTGTAAGCTATTTGCTTTAGCATCAACTTGTTTGGTAAGTGAGCTTTACTTTTCTCTAAATGAGCCAAGTTGAGCTCGAGTTTAAGCATTCCAATACTTGGCTCGGCTCATTTACAGCCCTAAACGCATCTCTTTAGGCAACTTTCCGATACCAAATTGGCCCAAGAGTGAGAGTATTCCCAGATTTTGAACCAAATTAATAGGAGGCAATCAACACCTATTTTTGTTTATGGGAGGTCAAAAAACACCACTACCACCTTTAGCACAACTTTTGATTACAAGCCTATTTGGTCTAATGGTTAAAATTCAACGAATAACAGATAACGAATAGCATATAATGGATAATGGATAGCGAATAATGAATTGTGGGTAAGATTAGTGGATAGTGGATAATGAAAAACAGATGACGAATAATATATAACAAATTTAATTACTATAACTATTTAGTTATATTATAATTAACGATTGTTATTTTAAATTAAATTATTTATAAGGACATATTTAAAAATAAATATATGTATTTTTTATATTTTATTATTAAATTATTAATTTTTCAATAATAATAATAATAATAAATAGATTATAACAATGTACTCATACACTAATTTTTATTTTTAATAAAGAAAAAATTAGATTAATTTTAAATAAAGTATAAAAAATTTTAATCTTTTTATTTAATTAGCAAATTTTTGTTTATTAAGTTAATCTATTTTTTATGATAAATTGATATAAAAATAAAAATATAATAATTACTTAATATTATTAAAAAAATTGAAACTAATTATATAAGTACTAATTAAAAAATGTAACCAAAAATTAAAAAAATTAAAAAGAATAAATTTATCAATAAAATTAAAAAATTTCAATCTACTAGTGATTTGGTACAAAAAGTTATATTAAGTAGTTTTTTCAATATATTAACGATTTGAACTTTAATCATTATCCGTTACTCTTAAACCACTAAATAAAAAGTTTTACCAAATACATCATTCATAATAGTTTCAAAAAAAATAAATTTATTAAACATCTAATTTTAACGGTTTGAACAAATCCATTAAACTTTATCTCCAAACAGCTATAACAAATGTGCATTGAAGAAAGGAAAATTCAACATCCGCTGAAGAAGCTACTCGCTCCAAAGGAGCTTCAGCTAAAGGCATTGAAGAAAGGAAAATTCATTCTCAATCCATAAGGATATGAGTTATAGACAGTGTTGCAGAAAGCACCACCCAGGCGTGCCAGGGCGGCACCATTGCTGTGGGTGAACATCTATCACCCACCTTGGCTCATAGGCGACGAAGAAAGGGTGCAAAATTTAGAAGGCGTCACACAGGAAAGGGAAGGCGCTATAAGGCGGCGCTTAGAAGATTTGGGCGACGCATAAGAGTGATCAAGTGCTCCCGTGTGTCACTCAATTCTCCAATGCAATCAGAAATTTAAATTGAACCAAAGGAAATCAAACACTAAATCCAAAACATCGCCTGCGATTTTAGCTTCAAAAAGCATTTTGTTGACGAGAGAGATAGAGGATTTTCTTCACTTTCGAAGAAAAATAAAAAATCAATTCTGGATCGGGTTTAAATAGCGGGTCCCCTAATCTATTTGATCGGGTTGGGGTAAAATGATACATCGGGCCCATATATATCTACTAGACTACTTTGAGTATAGAGTCCAAAACTTTGGTTTTATTGTCAAGTTCAAATTGGGCCAGCCTATTTCTCTTCATGGGATTTTATCCCAAAGGCTGCTTCTAATTTTGAAATGAGTGAAGTTGATATGTCTTTTTAAGTTAATATATTTTGAAAGCTGATAGAAAGGGAAGTGGAGAAACTACAATTTTTATTTAAAAAAAAAAAAATTAAACATTTATTTAATTTATTTAATTTTTTTCTAATTTTCTGAATTTTTTTAAAATTTTTTAAAAAATAAAATAAAAAATGACGCACAAACCGCCAAGGGCCCAAGGCTCCATCTATGCTCGGGGCAAAGACATGTTCCCTTATGGCGCCTAATGCCTTGTACAACACTGTTTATGGTAATAGTACTCCAGGAAAACCCGCCAGCATTAAGTTGTTGGATCTTTCGTATGGTCAGCTTAGAACTGCCTTACTAGCTGCAGAGAGCCAGAGACTGATGATAGAGACTGAGACCGTCACCATCAACATTTCTACCAAAAAGCCTGCAAGATTGTCTGAAGTGGAACATAACAACATAGTGTATTAACTTAAGGAATTTGTGGTGATGTCAGGGACGGAGCCAAGAAATTCAATTAGGGGGGCGAAATTTATTGTTGAAGATTTGAGTCTTTTAAGGGTATTTTTATGACATTAAATTATTTTCTTTAAATTTTCTACCTTAAAAATTTTTTTATTTATGGTCTATTTCATTGATTCATTTTCAACAAAAATTAGAAATAAATGTATTTTTTCAATTATAATAAAAATCAAAATATTATTATAATAAATTATGTAATGATTAATTGAAAAATAAATAAATAAATAAATAAAAAGAATTGTACTTGTTAATCGAATCTTTAACAAATTATGAACAAAAACATTACAAAATTAAATTGTTTTAATAAACTTGCATTAAAAAAACAAAAACAATATAATTTTAAAGTAGGAATTAAATTGTTTTGATTTTATTTAAACAATGCAATTTTAGAATATTTTTTTCTTAATTTTTTAAAGGTCATATTTATAAACAC